AGCTTGAATCGATATATTCTGGCTGTGAGTACAAAATTCACTGCCAGTGCTGAAAATATATAATACACGTAACGTAAACTATAGATTTTCAGCGCTGGTAGTGAATTTTAGAACACAGCCTCTGTGTATATTCGTCAATAATTAGTAATAAATTGTTATTCACTGAATGTTAAACAAGGATAAATGAACCTCTGTCAAGCTAGCAGGACCAAATGAGCAGAATCGAAAAACCTTTCGAACTATTTAGTGCTCATTTTGTGCTAATTTGTGCTACAAAAAACAATTTTGTACCATATACCGTTTAAAAGAAACGTGTGGCAATGCCAGCTTAATATCAAGCTAGCAGTACCACAAGAAAGAAAAAGAAAAAAAGAAAATTAAAAATAGATTTGAATAGTACTGATTTTGTGCTAATTTGTGCTATCAAAAAAAAGTTAATATATTGATCCATTCCTCAAGAACCAACCCCTAACTGAATTAAACACTATTAAGTTCAAAAGCAAAGCACCCTTCGCCATGAGCAGAATCAATCGCTACTAACACAATAAAAACGTTATAATTTGTGCTGCCAAAATATGAAGTTTCAGATTTTGTGCTCGCACCGTTCCTTCGAAAACTACCCCCGAATGTTGGGGCCCTTCTTCTTGACACTATCCTTTCTGAAAATTTATACAAATTGCAGTTTAAGAACCAACGCAGAAATATAAACGAAAAAACGCTGTAAAATTGAAAGTTTGGGAAATAAGGAACCGAATCTTGGCCAGGAACGTGGACAGGAGTCAAGTGTTAGAACTATTTCACACATTTTCATTCATTTCAATATGTTACAAATCAAAGTCGCTTAACAAAATACAACTGTACATGCAATCTTAATAAATAACAGGTGTGTTACATTCTTTTATAAACATTCTTGAATAATAAATCAATATTTAACACACACATGTCCATATTACTGCTCGACGGAAACCGCGGGAAGGAGGTGTTTTCTTCCACATCAGGAGGAAATGTAAAAAATTGTCTAATAAGTCACGTATGAATCGTAACTATTTGTTACCTTTTTACATTTCCAAAGGAATGAAGGACAGAAATAAAGCAGGTGTTTAAGTAAAGCAACTTAAAAGCATTAAAGCGTTAAATAAAACTTGCACAATTAATTAAAATGCTACGTACAAAAAATTCAAAGTAATATTGATCACGAACAAGCGACCGAAATGTTAGTATGACATATTATACATTTTTAATTCAAAACGCTAATTAATAAAATTTAAATGGAATAGGAACTACAAACAAGCGAACGAAATGTTAGTATGGCATATTATAAATTTTCAATTCAAAACGCTAAAACTAAATTTATATGGAATATGAACTACAGTATTTAACTACTGTATTTACAGTTACAAAAACGTATGCATTTTGCAATGTCTTTATAAAAAGTTTTTTCACACAATGGAAAGCAAGATAATACGCGTAGGTCTTTCTTTCTCTACCAAAATTACTCGTACGTACAGAATGTATGAAT